TTATTCATGCAACTGTCACTGATTTTAATTGCATTTTTATTAATGATTTTTAAATAAGTTACTATTGTTTTTCAGTTAGTTTAAAAAATATTTTCTCTATTTTTGTTTTTATTATATTATTGTAAGGTTGATTAAACCAAATTTACTTTCACTTTTATTTTTGTATGTATTATTGTTTGTTATGTATTCTAATTTATTTGAATAACTTTTTCTTAATGCTGAATCATATATTTTTTATTTTCACTAAAAATCTTATTTGCTAGAATTAGTTGCAATTCTTTTATGAATAGATATTGGTATATACTTAAATACATTAGGTGTATGATTTGAATTTTTGTTTATATATATGAGATTATTATTTGCTTTCCTATATGGTTTGTATGTATTATTATTTAAATTAAATGTTATATCTAAAAAATTTACTATTTTTAGAATAGATTTTATGTCTATTGTAAATTCTAATTTGTTAAATATTTTCTATTATTTGTTTTCTTATATCTTCTGTTTTTCTACCTAAATAATTTCTTATAATTATTAAACCATCATCTCTATATAAACCTATATCTTTTTATTTGATAAATTATGTATGATATATATCCCTATTAGTTTGCATATAAATGTACCACCATAACTGCCCATTGATATGTCAAAATTCTCAATATTTTTATTATTATTATTATTGCTATTATTCTTTTTTAGCCATATTTTATTTTGTAGTATAATAATAAGGATTTTCTACAATGATTAATTATGTCTAATTCTTTGTCTTGAATGTTTATGTGTTGTATTGCTAAATTTAATCCTTTATTTAATATATATTTAGTAATGGATGGATAAAAGTCTGTTATATCTAATTTTATAAAAGAACAATTGTTTTGTTTTATAATATTGTTGAACCAATTAATAGTTACTTTTGTATTTTTCATATAGATTTATATTTAATATTTTTCTTAATTTCAAACATATTTTTCTACTATTGTTTACTAATTTTTCTTATATTACTTTTTTATGGGATTTAATAATCTACATGTAGGTTTGTTTAGAAAATTATCCTTATGATTTTTTTAATTTAATAAATGGTTCTACTTTCATTAATTGTTTAACTCTGTTATCTAATTTTAATTTTTTTGCTATGGTTTTTGCTTCTTTACTTAAATTATTTTCTGATTTTTTGTTAGTGGTTTTGTAAAAACTTATGTACCCCTTTTGTGATTAGTTTCATATATTTGGTAAGTTCAATTTTATAGATTGTCCTTGATTTGTCAAGCACAATCTATATTTTATCTATGGTTTTCAGGTACTTTCCAAAGGTGCTGCACCTGGGTTTCCTCCAATCACATCAGAAAATCACCACCCCGATCACTCACTCATAATGAGATTCAAAATTAGGTCTCATGTTCAGAAATAAAACATCCTAATCATTCAGCAATGCATCCAAATTATATATATATATACATATGATATTTAGTCGATATTAAGTGCATTCAAGACTTTTAAAATAGAAAATGTGCCTTCCAGAAGGGTTTGAACCTGCATCCTCCTTGTAAGGAAAACCACTGTATAGCCAAGTATACTTTTAGACTACTCAGCCATGCCTTGGACTCTTCCTCTTGCTAACCATCCATTCTCTTCAGGCAATTGGTGGTTAGTTCTTTCTATTGTCTTAAATCTCTTTATCTTTAAGGAAATTGTCCAGAATTCACTGCATATCTGTTCATCCTAGCTTCTGATTAAATTTTCTTGTTTCTTAATACTTAGATGTTATATTCTCAGTCTTCAGTTAAAACATTTCTTTGATATTTAAATTTTTGTATTTTCTTGATATTTTCCTTGGCAAATTTGAAACGTGCTTCTTGCACTGTTTCTCTTGTTAACAATCATACAGTCTCTCTTCATGCAATTGATGGTTAATCATTTCTCCTACCTTATCTAGGATTTCCTGCAGTTTTTCTTGGATCTGCCATTAACACTGTGTTATCTGTATATCTTATGTTGTTAAGATTGTGCTAACCAATAATAAATTCTGCTACTACTTCTAGCTCTCTTAGGATTGTCTTGTTGTAAAGGTTGAATAAATCCAGTAACAAAATACATACTTTTAGCGACTCATAGTTCAGTTATCAGGGAAAGTATAGATTGCTTGCTGAAGCAGAAAGACATGATAAAATTTTCATTTTGCTTTTAATGATTTTTCAGATAATTATTATTAAAAAAATCTCTGAAAATAATGCAGTGTACTGATACTTATTTTTAGGAATAATGTACATTATTTTCTGCCAGGAATATATGAATTGAAAAGAGATAGGACTTGAATAATTCTGTACAGGTTGTAAAAATTTGTTTTATGTTTTACATAAAAAGGCCATAAAGATATTCAGTAAATTTCACTTTGTCTTATCTCTAGGACATTAAGTCATTTTCTATAAGCTCTGCATAAATTGCTACTGAAATGTTTCCAAATTGCAGGGATCATGTTTCTTTCCCACATTTTATCTATTTTTTGATTTTTGGCAACTGCTCTATAGAATCAACTAAAACTTGATTTAATCTTTCTTTGTTAAGTACTTAGCCTAAAACACTCTACTGCATCTCTGTTGCAGTTGGAGCCAACACCACCATCAATAGACACTTTGTCTCACAGAGCTCATCTGCAGAATGTCCATGTCTAACCTTGTGTGAAAACTTGGCTATGATTTTAGAACAAAGCTGTTTATCTGTCATCAAGGAAAAGCATCACATGCAGACGATAAAGGCGCCATCATAATTGATCTATTAACTTAGAAATCAAAGTGTCTTTAGTGTAAATCCCTGACACCAACCATATCAGTTATGGATGAGTAATTGCCCTATTATCTCTTTAATCGGAAGTACCAATGATTCAAAATTAGGTGGAAGGAGACTGTAAAGGGAAAACAGTAAACAAAAACAAAAACAAAAAATGCTTTATTTATTAGCATTTCCTTGACAATATATTCTTAATTGAGAGAAATACATACAGCCTCACAAAAATAAATATTTGAGTTTTGAAACATTAAAATACAGGAAGCTTGGATCATATCAGGCCATTTAAACAGTTTGAAATTGACAGTCTGATAGAAAGAGTGTTGTTTTACTCTAGGAGTTAATTTATATTGACTGCAGTGCTATATTCCATCTCAGCTTCTTACAATTTTATACATGTCAAAATCAACACTAAAATATAGATATACATCACATTTTATTGCAGTAAAGATATTCAATTTTCACAAAGACGATAGAAAGGATATGATAAAAGCAGATAAAATGTAAATCGAGAATTTTTATATACCAGAAATTTTTGAAGTGTTTTATAAAAAAATTCTTTATTTTTTTGTTTTAGTCCAGTTCCTTCTAATATAAAAACAGTTTCTATATGACAAGAAAAAGACTACGGACAGGGAGATTTCTGAATAACTTCTGCTCAGGCTATTATATCTGGTTGCTACTCAGACTATCATGTGGACTCTAAATGACTATTTGATATATTGTCTATTTATTTATTTATAGCTAGTAGATGGATATAATAGTAGACACAAAATGTGTCCAGATAGGTAAAAGAAAAATGCCCATCTCTATTTGAAAGGGTGCCACTTAAAGAGTAAAATATTTTTAATAACTTAATAACTATAGATGGTTAAAAGCTCAATCCTGACAGATTAATAATTTGATATATTCAGGGGCTGAAAATACTCTGCAGATTGATGTCACATTTTTTTTCCAAAGTAACCACACTTCTGACAGCCACTAACAAGATGATGACGACTATCAAAGTCTGACTCATAACTTTTGCCAACTTTTTTTACAAAGCACTCACCTCAATCAAAGTCAATTAAATTAGCATATATTATTTCTGTTCATTTATTCTGACATTTCTTAAGAATATTACTAAGATACACTGACATTTCTCCACAAGTGTCCAAGTAACATAGAACAAAATTTTAAAAGCATGTATTTTCAGCTTCTTATAAATAAAAAAAAGAATATACCAATTCTTTCCATTTAATCAGTTAAAAAAAATGAAAGCTTACTAGCAACGATTAATTTTTAGAGAAAATGGAAACAAAAAGGACACTTGAAATCAGAAAGAAACGAAAGGATACTTAGAATCAGAAAGAGTTGAAATTTCTAGAGTGCATAAAGAAGAAAACAATGCAAAACCTACCTAATGAGCTTAGGTAAATGATTGGCAGAATAGGGTTTAGGAAAGATAGGGAAACAACAAACTTTATTAATAGCTACAAACGACAGGAAGTTGTGGACAGCCATAATCACTCACAAACGGACATGGCACATTGATGAAAAATATATCTTCTGTTCTTTACAAATCCTCACAAAGTAATATTATATGATAAATAATTTTAGTCAATTTAACAAACTGAACTGTTTTCTACTCTTAGTTTTTCACTCTTCATGCATGTAGCTTTTCATATGTGAGAAATGCAATAGTTATTTTATTATATTTTATTATATATATATATATATATATCATATTATATATAATACTCTTCACACAGTTGTCAAAGTACATAGATATGATTGATAGATATTACAAATTAATTTTATATATATATATATATATATATATATATATATATATATATATATATATATATATGTATATATACATACATACATACATACATGTATATCAGTTATTTCATATTTAATTGAATATTTTACTTACCTTTTTCTTGTTTCTTTCTTGTTTGGAGTTCTTTTCAAGTAAACAGATTACCTTATGATTATCTCCTAAATTTCTTGCATGTATGGAATTCCAGGTAATGTAATTTTATATAGGAACGTGTCATAATCACAATAATCTTCAAAAAAATATTTACAAGCCAGGAAATGAATAATTAAATTAAAAGTAAAAAATTGTTTGGGCACAGACATAAACACACACACACATATGTGTGTGTGTGTGTGTATCTATGCATATATATATATATATATATATATATATATATATGCTTATGACCATATGTTGAAACACCAGTTCACACATGATCACCAAAGTTAAGCAATGTTGAGCCTAGTTTGTACTTAGATAGGTGACGGCATGGAATTATCAAGTGCTGAAAGCTTAGAATTGTTAATCAGAGAGCTGAGTTCTAATTCCAGCTGTATTCATTATATTCACTTACACACAAATACTCTTGGGGAAAGGTATGAATCCATCTCTTCTTCCACCAGCTATGGGTCAGTTAGTGAGACTTTTATTGGTCACTAAAATCATTATTATCTCAAAATAAAATAAATTTGCATACAAAATATTTCAAATTTTATCCTTAAATAACCCATACAGACTGATATTCTGCTAAACAAAAGCAACACAACACACACACACACACACACACACACACACACACACACATATATATATATATATATATATATATATATATACACAAACACAAATATATATATATATATATATATATATATATATATACACAAACACACATTCACATATACACCCATATATAGATACATAGATTCATCAATAGTTATGCAGCTTAAATGTGAAAGAAACATTTATTTTATATCACATATATATTCCTTTCACATAATCCCCTTCTTGTCAATGCACTTAATACCATGAGAATTATTAATCACAGATTGAACACAGTGAAAGCATCACATAAAAATTGTACAAATTACTGTATCAGGTATAGACTTACTGATTCATTCTTATATATCAGAGGTGGCCAACATGTGGCTTGTTGTCTTTTAACATGTGGCTTGTGGAAATATGTTGGCTGAGCTTCTTTTTTCATTACAGTTAATATAAAAAGTAAATAAGAAAAATCTCAAGGTTTATAATTATTTACTGGTTATAAACTGAGACCCCATTGGATTAAAACATTAGTTTAATGTTAATGTGTATGTAGCAAAAATGTATGTGCAAATTTTCTTCATGTCTTGCAGTTGCACACATCTGAACTTTATCATATGTGGCACTTCCATTAAGCAAGTTTGTACCTTTTTATTATATATATATATATATATATATATATATATATATATATATATATAGGATATGTGTGTCTTAATAATATGTATACCTTCATATAAATACTATGTCAAAGTAAGAAAAGTTTTTTTTCATGTGAGGTATTTCGTTCTTTAGGTTGATGTGACTACAAATTGACATGAAAGAAAGGGTACACTGAAAATTTTAAATTTAAAATATTCTTTTTGTATTTGCCTTTATTTTAAATTAAAAACATCAGCATCTCCTCTCCTTTGAACACATGGGCAGTAATATCAATGTAAACATCACTGTAGTCTGATGAAGTCCTAACATATATATATATATATATATATATATATATATATATATATATATATATATATATATATAAGTGAACATTGCAGCCTGATGATTGCGTCTAGCATGAAACAGACTGTCGCCTTTGAGTGTTGACTTCAATGTTCACTTTTATATTTATCTTTACATATACTCTATCTCTGATATTGAGCACTTTATCCCATAAATGTAGCACACCTTAAAACTATATTTCTTCAAATTGGTACAGTCCAAACATATTCACCAACCATGCACACTTATAGAAATCATGAAATAATATTGCTCTATAGCAAATATAATATTTTTTTTATAATTTGACATTTAATATAAACACCCTTTGAAAATAAAATAGCATTGACCTGATTCTATAACATTCTAAAAGTTAATGATGAAGGCAATATATGAGTGCCACCTACCACAGTAACTTATTCTCTCTGCAACCATGGTGAAGATGGCTGAAGTTGACAAGAAGCTCTGAATGAAGATAGTTGATGCATACAAACAAGTTTCCAAGCATTTACATGTTCCTAGATTAACAATTTGTATGCATTATCGAAAAGTACAACAAGACTCATTGTGTTGAGAATAAATTAAGACTGGTTAATTTCTGATAGAAAGGAAAATAAAATTGTTAGAGATGTCTCAAAGAATCCTCACTTAGTAACAAAGGACATTGTCAATGATGTAAATACATTAGGGTTGAATGTATCAATGAAGGCAGTCACTAGATGCTTTCAGCAAAGGAGACCTCAAGCTTGTTGCCCAAGGAAACTCGCTTGCTCAAGGCTAAACAACTAAAATGCAGATTATCTCATGCTAGAAGCAGAGCATGGGAATAAAGATTGGAACTATGTTTATGGTCAGATGAAACCAAACTAGAATTATTTGGTCACATAAACTCCTTTATGTATAGAAGAAAGTGAATGAAGTTCCTAAACCAAAAAAATACCCTCCCTACAACTAGGTAGGGTGATAGCATTCTGCTCTGGGGATGTTTTGCTTTTGTTGAACCAGAACTAGTGGGAGTATAGGATATCATGGATAAAGAGCAGTATTTAGCTATTATAAAAAGAAATTATATAAAAAGATAAAGAACATTATTATTTTATCTTATTAAAGAGCATTATTATAAAAAGATAAAGAGCAGTATTTAGCTGGGTATGACAATCACCCAAAGCACATGGCACAAATGGTTACAAAATTACTTAGATGATTGTAAAATTAAGTTATTGGCATGCCTTGCACAAAGTTCTGACTTAAATCCCATTGAAAATTTATTGGCAAATTTGAAGAAAATGTAAGAGAAAGAAGTTCTTGAAGAATTTGATGCAGCTAGAAATTATTGCCAAGGAAGAAATGGATCAAAATTCATATAAGTGTGTATAGTGATCTTACAGTATCAAAATTGATTAAAGGCAATAATCAAAAATAAACATTACTCAATTAATTATTGTAGCAAGAGGGCTAATAATTTTGTCATATGTTAAATGTTTTTTGTGTTTTTGTATAATTATTTGACATTAAAATAAAAAATTTGTTGTGGGTACCACTGCACATTCTTTCAGATCCATTATTTCATCATCTGTGAAAAAATGCACATGAAGTTTCCATGAAAACTTGAGGTATTACAGTTTTTTTTGTAATTAGGGAGGTCAGGGGATAGGGTGAATAATTCTGTTCACAACAATATATACATACATATATATCTATCTATCTATCTCTCTCTCTCTCTATATATATATATATATATATAAAAAGTGAATATAAGTCAACATAGAGGCGACAGTCTGTTTCATGCTATATGCAATCGTCAGGCCACATATGCTATTTATTTTTTTCTCGGCTATTTATATATGCGGGTTAGTGGTGCATTGTGAAACAGACTTCTATATAGAATTGAATGTTCACTTTTATATTTACACACGCTCTATCTCTGATATTGAGCACTTTATCCCATAAATATAGCACACCTTAAGACTATATTTCTTTATATATATATATATATCATATCATACAGTCTCAGTTACGCTGGACTGGACTGGACTGGTCATGCCTTGAGAATGTCTGATGATATGATACCCAAGATCCTAATGTACAGCCAGTTAGATCAGGGCTACAGGAATGTAGGACGCTCATGGCTAAGATACAAAGACAAGGTGAAAAGCAACTTGTCAGCAGTCAATATACCACATAACACCCTTGAGCGCTTAGCCATGGAGTGGGTAGAATGGAGATCAACGTGTTTTAGTGGACTCAGCAATTTTCAATCTGGTTGTCTGAATCATCTTCAAGAAGCAAGAGCAAGATCTAAAAGGTTAGCCAATCTAACAGTGATCTCATCTCACAATCCTCATTCTTGCCCTACATGTTATTTTGTCTACTGAAAAACTTGAGAAAGTTTATAAGAGAAAAATTATTAAAGAAAATATAATTATAAATATAAAGAAAATTATGAGAGAAAACTTATTAAAGGAAATATAATTTTAAATATATAGAAAATTTATTAGAGAAAACCTATTAAAGAAAATATACTGCTGTGCTTTAACCACTCGTCTATGAAGAGCTTTAAAATCAAGCAAGGTGCTATTTTATCTTTAAAATACACTCACTTGTTCAGATATCTGATTTTTATAAAAGTTGCCTATATAATATCATATAAAATCCATACTTACAGAATCTAAGATCAGTCTACCTTCAACCACAACTGGTATAAACTAAATTCTTTCACTTACATAAGACATTCTTTCACTCTCACATAAGACATTCTTCAATCAACATGTGGATACTAGCACCTAAATAAAAATAGACACTAGATGCACAAAAACACACATGCTTATATATTATCAATCAAATTCTGCATAGACCAACTAAAATTATAATATACAAACACATAACAATTTTACACACAGATGATACTTGACAGGATAAATACATGTGCAGTTAACCCTGTAGCGTACAGAAGGAGTGGAGAAGAAGGTGCAATGACCCTGGGTATCCATATTGGGAGGGCACCCAATCAAAGAGTGAAATAAAAATTTAGTTTATATTTAAATTGAATAAAGTGTTTATTTCATGTCTCATCTGTTTGTACATATTTAAAATATCTTCTATTCCCACATTTCTTAGTAGTAGGCCCTATAGCCCCCCCCCCACTTGAGTCTTAGGAGCATACAATTAAGGCATCACCAAACATCATCAACATCTACACATCACTAACTTAATCAAAGAAAAACAAAGACAAAAATACAAAAATACCAGAATTTTCTTTCCTCTTTCATATTTCCTTTTCTGAAGTGTAAATAAAAGCAAAACATGTTAAATTTATAAACATTTTTTTTTCCTTAGCGATCATTCTTTTGAATTCTAATCCATATATGATCCATATTTGATCCCAATTCATATACAGGGTGCGATGGATAAATTGTCACCTAAATTATGCAAAAATTGAAATAATACTGGCATCTCATTTTAAAAAATATATTTACCAAAATTGCACAAATAAATCTTGAAATACTAAAGACTAAATTTATTCAATAAAATCACAATTTGCTTCAATCACAGCCTCCAGATGACTTCGGAATCTTCTACATCTCTTTTGGATGGTCTTCTTGTTTAATTTGGTGCATGCTACCATAATCCTTACCTTCAGTTCATTTTTAGTATTACAAAAAGTTTTGTTGGTCTCTCGATCAACTGTGCCACACACATCATAATCAAGGGGGTTGCAGTCTGGTGAGTTAGGTAACCAGATGTAAGGGGTGATGTGGTTGC